ACAAGGCTTCCTCTATATCAGCTTCTCCAGCTGAGGAACTCGGTCCCCAGAATCACCAGAGCAACAGAACAGAGGAGAGGAAGTACCCTGGCTTTCAACTGTCCAGCCTGGGAGATGGCAAACAGGACTCCCACCCACACAGTTGCTAATCGCTACTCACACAAACCCAAATAAACCCCACAGTGGACCCTCCCCAAAGCAGAAGCTGGGAAAGGATTTGAATGGGGTTGGGGCTACCATGCTAAGAATCCCCATCAAGTGTGGACATGGCTGTCTTGCCTGGAGGAGACAGGTGGCACAGACACTGAAAACTATCTGTGTCCCTCTGGCAGCTGGGGATGTCTCCAATGCTCAGGAACTGCCCAGTGCTTCAGGACCGCACTAAAGATGGACCAATCAAACCCCTGCTACCAGAGAAAGGGCTCTAACAGGGCCAAGGTGGATTGCAAAGGACAGGGGAGGTGTGATCAGGGACCATGGACAGAGACAACGGCATCAGCTGAGAAGGGGAAACACACTGGCATCTGCCACACAGAAACTGAATCTCCAGAGAGCTCTAGCTGCAGACCCAAGAAACCAAAACAACACCCACAAGAAGCTCAACCGACTTCATCTAAGCCATCAGGCACAGCAGGAGCAGTGCCTAAGGGATCTACTCCACTGGAGAGGTTCATGCTCAGCCCTCTTGAGGATCCACACTCTCCTGGGAAGGAATGACCATGGACCTTGTATTTAAAGTGTGATCCCCAAACAAGAAACACCTACAAGAGTTTAGGAGCTAGTACAAAAGGCGGCATCTCAGACACGAAGACATTCTGAACCCAAATCTCCGTTTTTACCTACATCACCAGATGGCTCAAATGCCCAAAGCTGCTTTAAAGTCTGGTACAGCCAAACAATCTTCTCTGGCTAAACATGTCAGTAATTTCAATTGGTTTTGGTTGTAGTATCTGGTAAGCATTGTACATCACAGTCACAGAACAGTTGGAACATGCCCACCCTACCAATAAAGGAAAGAAGCTCACAGGTCTTGCGGCCTTGACGTCTCAGAGCCAGGATCCGCAGGCAGGTCTGAAGGACTCTAGAGTCCTCACTCTGTAACCACACAGACCTGGAACCTTGTCATCTGGAAACTTCTGAGAATACTTAGTCTTGAGGGTAGCACAGGCAGCTCTAGAGAGTTCCCTTCATGCCACCACTGACCCAGCCTTTATCTCCCTTCTCTCTTCCTGCCCACAGGATGATGGCTCCACACAGGCCACTGTCCCTAGGAGACGGCCTCTCATCCCCGAGTAAGTACTTTACAAGCTTGCTCAATAACAGTTTGACGAGTTCATGAAAATATCTCCCCTTTAATCATGGAAGATGCTGAGGGAAATTGAAGGGCTCTCATTATGGAAAGGAAGGTGAAGACTTTGGATTCCCAGAGAAGTTCAAAGTCTTGCCAGGGATCTCTGGGAAACATAGGATAACTAGGAATGAAACCCAAAGCCCCTCCCCAATTCCCAGGATCGATGTCTTCATCCTCTTCCTCCACCTTTCTGGATTTCTGACCTACACTACCATGCAGTTCACAGAAACACCCCTTTCAAATGACTCCCCCATAGACACCTCAAAAGGGGCTCTGGCAGCTGGGTGGTGATGGCACAGGCTCAAATCCCAGCACTCTGGAGACAGAAGCAGGCAGATCTCTGTGAGTTCAAGGCCAGCCTGGTCCATAAATTGAGTTCAAGACATTTAAGGCTGTTACACAGAGAAAAGCTGTCTTGAAAAAAAAGGGGGGGGTCTACCACCATGCAGGATGAATTTAGATATTGTCAGGCAGCCACCTGGGAAAATGGGGAGAGTTGGGGCATGAACACCCTCGACCCCAATGAAGGAACATTCAACAATCAAAGGCCTCCAAGGAAGCAGTCCTCTCAGCTGTACCCCCTGGAACACTTGTATGTACTGCCAAAGGCACGCAGATGACGGCCATGGCACTGCGGCTTGCCATGTCTGGGCACCAATACCCATGGGCCTGGACAGGGCACTTTCTGTGAATTTACACAAAAAGCACTCTAGAGGACCCAGGCTGTCTGCTGCTGCTTGAGCAGAGACCAGGCTGGGAGAAGGCAGCCACTCACCCCAGAGAGGTACCACTATAACTGAAGCTGTGAGACCCAGGTTCACCCAGTGCTTTCCCTTCCCCTTGCTGCATTTAGAAAGACACGAAGGCCTTTATTTACTCAGCTTGTCCATGGAAAAGCAAAATATTTGCCTGAAACAGTAAGGGAAGCATAAGAGAGAAATTTCTCTTGGACTGGGAAATGGGAGAGTTTCACACACACACACACACACACACACACACACGCATACATAATACACATGCACACACAAACACGCACATACATACATGCATTTTCACAAACATACACACACATACAAACACACACACAGAGACATAGAGAGAAATGAGAACTTGGGACAGCCCAACAACTCTCCACTTTGTTTTTGTTTCTCTGAGCCCCAAGCCCAAGGGCTGTGCCCCCTAGAACACTTGTATGTACTGCCAAAGGCACACTGATGAAGGCCACAGCACTGCGGCTTGCCAGTCCCCGTCTGGGCACCAAGACCCATGGGCACTTTCTGTGAATTTATCCAAAGGCATCCTAGAGGACCCGGGCTCTCCACTGCTGTTTAAGCAGATAGGAGAGGAACACATTGCCTGAGAAGTCTGTCAGATATGGAGATACAGATTTGTAATCCCAGCATTCAAGAGGTGGAGGCAAAAGGATCATGAATTCAAGACCAGCCTGGTTTACACGAGATCCTGCCCTCAAAAGTTAACACAGGAAGAAAAAAAATGGGGAGAAGGAAAAGGGGAAGAGAAAGAAAGAGAAGCAAAGGGAATGTGTGCTGGTTTGGTTTTTGTAAAGTTGACTCAAGTCAGGTCACTTGGGAAGAGGGAACCTCAATTGTGAGATGTCTCCATCACACTGGCCTATAGGCAAGTCGATGAGCATTTTCTTGATTAATGATTGATGTGGGAGGGTCCAGCTCACTGTGGGCAGTGCGATCGCTGGGCAATTCAACCTGGGTTATATCAAAAAGCAAGAGGACCAAGCCATGGGCAGCAAACCAGTATGCAGCATTCTTTCTACTACCTCTGCTTCCGTCTCTGCCTTCAGGTTCCTAGCCTGACTTCCCTTCCTGGTGGACTGCAACCTGAAAGCTGAAATAAACCCTTTCCTCCCCAAGATGCTTTTGGTTACAGTGTTCACACCAACACCAGAAGGCAAACTAGACCAGGAGGGAAATGACTCCCCGTCTTGAGATTGGATTTTTCTGTCTGTTTGCTTTGTTTTGTTGTTGTTCCTTGGAATCAGATACTGAGGAAGAATTCCTAGGACAGTGAGTTAGTGTGTTAGCATGCTAGCCCTTGTTCACAGGAAAGAATGGGTTACAAATGAGTCAAGAAACCAGCGCAAGCCAAGCAAAGCCAGCCAAGAGCCTGGCGATCAACCTGATGGAAGGCCACAGGAACTTTGGTAAGAGTATCGTGCCTCACTCGCTGTCCTAGTGAAGAGCCTGGGAGCTAGATAATGTTCTCTTGAAGATTCACCAGTTCCTTGTCAAGGGCTGCCCCAGGGGGACATACAATTCCACCCAGTCCTTGCTCTGAGCTTGTACAAGCAAAGCAGTGCAAAGGTCCCTTCCACAGGCAGAGGGCATTGCCCCTGGGAACCAAGTACTCAGGGAACAGACAGGCAAGCATAGCAGGGCTGGCCATAAAAGAACCATGCTCTAAAACCATTAGCACTAAATGAAAAGAGAGTTGGAGAGTATAACTCAGAAATCACATCTACCTCTCTCTCTCCTGTGGCATCATTAACAATACAATTGCATACCAACAAGCTTTCCTGAAGTTGGGCTGTAGGTAAACCAGCACTCCAGCCCTGCTTACCTCCCTGGGGTTCTGCTTTCTGCTGCCTGCCCCGGGGTTAATGTGTGCCTGCCTATAGCTCTGGGTACCCCATTTCCTTGTGACCCTTAGCACAACACCAACTCAGCAGATTACCCCTGTAATCCACAGACCCCATTCCCAGCCACTACCACACTCATCACAGGGCGGATCTCCCCACCGCCGCCACCATGTGTTATAAAAGTTGTTGACAATGGGACCTGGCTTCTACTGGACAGCCACCACCAAGTAGAAGGAAGAGGATGGTCTGGACTTGGAAGGAGTGAGGTGAAGAAATGACTCACTGTCAGGAGCAAACAACCTAATTCCCTCACAACTTCTCACCCCCACTCCCAGCAGGCAGATACTCTGGGAAGGTGTCCCCAGACGCCTCTGCCCAGCCCGGGTGCAGCGCGGGTGCAGCCTTATCCTTTCTCCACCACACCTCGCCCCCAGAACCAGACGTGGAAAGGAGTGAAAAACGTGGCTCTATATTTGAAATGAATTGATGGTTTGGTTTCTCCCGCTCTGATTTATCCTGTTGATGCCCAAATGTTCTGCCTGTAGTATGTTTTTCCTGGTCCCCCTTTGTTCTTCAGTGTCTGTCTCTCTAGCTAGATCAGCACTCCGGAGAACAGGGTTCTAGAAACTACTCCACCACTCTGGGGTAATCCTAGGCAAGGAGGTGGCTTCGTCAAAACAGAGATTCTTTCAAGAAAGGATGGAATGAGGGAGGTCCCTTGGTGACTAGCGCCTGGCCCACGAAGACAATCAATCATTGACAGTTCTCTCCGTGCCTACGGCCTTGCAGCACCTGCCCAGTGTGTTTTTCCAGGAATGGCGCTCTGGCTGCTTAGAAAGGGGAGCAGCTCCAGCCGCTGTTACCCCCTTGCAAGTGAGTTTCCCCGTGGTGTAGAGGGGTTGCACAAGTGCACATATGCACACAACACACGCACGCATGCACCGACGCATGCACAGCGCAGCCCCGTGGGGTCTACCTCTATTGCCCCTTCGCTCCAGAGTGGGGTTCCAACTGACAGTCGCCAGGGGCACTTACCCGGAGTTGGAGGCGCAGGGCGGGTGGGTGCCGGAGGGGCCGGGGTCGCGGGCGGTGGCGGCGGGCGCAGGGCGGGCGCGGCTGGCATGGCTGGCGGCCTGGCTGCAGGTGGCAGCTCCGGGACTTGGCCCGACGGGGGCCAAGCGGACACGGGGAAGGCTCCGGGACTACAGTCTGTACCAAGAAGCTTGGGTCTCCTGTTCGCTTTTGTAGGCAAAGGCGGCAGCCACAGTGCAAAGACAAGTCTCCCGGCGCAAGCTTGACAACTGCGCACCGCCCCGCCACCCTCCAGCCCCGCCCCGCCCCGCCCCGCCCCACCTCGCCCTAGGCCTCCTGTGGGCGGTGGAGTTGGCGGTCAACTTGGTCAAGCAGGACGCTGGAGGAGCGCTCTCAGGAGAGTAAGGATCCCATGAGACCTCCCTCTCCCATCTCCTTCCCTCCTCCCTTCTCTCTCCTCCTTCCTCTCCCTCCTTCCCCCTTTCTCTCCGCAAGGCTGTTCCAGCCAAGGAACTTGGAGACAGGTTTTGACCTGTGTCTCCACAGTGTTCTCAGTTGGTGACACCCAAGTCAAGGAGACCTGGAACCCCAGCAACCCTGCTTCTCCCGGCGGGCAGTAGAAAGCAGACTGTAGGAACTCCACCAATGCATCCTTCCTGCACCCAGAATCAAAGTTAGAACACAGTGGTCCAAACTCACAAGTTGAGAGACACACTGTAGAAGGTCTTCCCATCTTGCGGTTACTGATGCCATGGAAGGCCTTTTATGAAATCGCCCCTTCTCAGCAGCACACACTGAAGGGTTGGAGTTTCAGCAACAGATCGATTTTCTCCTTAGGGGCCGTTCACAGCCACTCTTTCCAGTCCAGTTCTTTGTATTTGGGGAAAGAGCGGATACGAGTCAAGCAAACTGAGCTTGAGAGATCAGATGGTGTGTTTTCTGCCTGCCACAGCAACAGTCGAACAACAGCTGATGGCAGGGTGGATAATCATTTACACATGGCTTTGGCTTTGGTGAATCCGCCCAGCAGCAGGGACGAAGCTCCAGCTCAAGACAACACACCACAGAGAAGCTCAGCGATCGCACACCTTGCTGCATGCTGTGGGGAAATTGCTGAACTGCTGTCCAGCCCACTTTCCCCCCTTTCTGGCCTGTCAACAGAACCCCAATTATTAGCTGAATATACTGTAATCTGAAGAAAAAAAAGTATTTCCCAGTTGTCCCAGTGCCCAAAATAGCCGGGAGAGAAATTTTTGGCCAGTGAAATATAACTGGGAAGCTTTGTGTGTGACTCTCAAAATGATTCTAAGGCTAATAGATATGTTCCATTGCCCCTTCCAACCTCCTGCCTCGTCCCAGCATCCCACAATGATGTCTATAGTAGGTTAGAATTTAGGGTCGATTCTTGGCTCCGTCTTCTAACAGAATTAGAAAATCCGCCTGTAAGGACAGTCTCTCATTACTGTGATGAAACAGCCAAGCTAACCAATAACCAAATTTAAAGATCTTTTTTATGATTTTAAATGACGTGTCCTAGAGTGTGGGTCTAGAGTGTCGGTGGGTGTGTATACATACGTGTCGGTGGTACCCACAGAGTTCAGCAGAGGCTTGTCTGATCCCCAGCATTTGTGAGCCAAGGCATGTGCTGTTGGGAATGCAATTCAAGTCTTCTACAAGAGAAGTAAGCACTCGTAACCACTAAGCCATTTCTCTAGCTCCCTGAGTTAGCCACTTTAAATGGAGGAAATATTAGGTGTGTCTCACAGTCTCAGAGGTTTCAATTCATGCTTACTTTGGCCCTGGTGGTGGCACAGTATGCCATGACAAGAACACAAGGGGACCTATTTATATCATGATTGCCAGGAAGCAAAGATAAGAAGGCATGGGGCCCTGGTATCCCTTCGAGGGTGTGATGCCCATGACTTAACTTCCTACTAATTGCCACACCCGCATGGTCCACCGTCCCCTAATAGCACCACAGACTAGTGAACAAGCCTTCAACTCCTAGACTTTGGAGGGAAATCCCAGAAATAAATCATAACACCATTATCCCTTTAAACTATAGCATTTCTCTGCATCTTTTTTTTTTTTTCGCGACAAGGTTTCTCTGTAGCTTTGGTGCCTGTCCCACAACTAGCTCTTGTAGACCAGGCTGGCCTCGAACTCCCAGAGATCTGCCTGCTTCTGCCTCCCAAGTGCTGGGATTAAAGGCGTGTGCCACCACCACCCACCTTCTGCATCTTGTCTTTAATTGTGGCCATCTTACTTACATGGCCAATGGGACTCTACTGGATATGCACCCTCCTGGATTAACTTCTTAGGGTCTGCTCCTGACACTTTTTGAGCAGCTACTGCCCAAGGCGAACATACAGAAACATGACTCAGACCTCAGTATCAGCTGGCAGCTAACATTTGACCTGATGGGGCCACCACATAGGACTGTAGACCCAGAAGTGACACCGATAAATAAATGCCCATAGTTACAAACAACTAAGTTCTGAGCTACTTTGTCCCTCAAGGTGATTTCAGCAAAAGCTAGCTTGTTTGATGACTGGCAAAGGCTGGAGGTCCAGCAGCCTTCTTGGATTATATGGTAGCCTTAAAGTTTTAAGACAAGACCAAAAAATTACAGAGCAATAAAACAGAGGCCTGGGTTCTTTGTGATATCATGAAGTTATGTCAATTTTAAATTTCCCTTTAAAGAGAGAGGACACCCTTGTATATTTGAGCCACTACAGTCTTATTACCTGAGAAGTGGCATTTGTGTTCATCCTTTAATAAAGAAAGGTAACACTGAGTACAGACATAGGCGGTCATTCCAGTGCAAATGGAGGTCTGCGAAGGAACGCCATGCTCACAGTGAGCCACTGAACTAGAAATTGTTTGGCATCGCTCAAGGGAGTGGAACAGTAGCCATGGAGCCCGACCAAGGCAATACTTTGGTCGTAAGTGAGCAATATTCACTCACGGAGCTCAAATTGAGTGGAAGAGTCAGAGGCATTCTGAGGTTGTCTAGGGAAATCTCCAAGGGGTGGAGAGACAAATCATGTGAGTGCTTCCCACACAGGCTGAGCACCAGAGTAGGGATCTCTGGAACCTACATAAGCACCAGGCTAGTACAGCAGCTCACCTGCTCTTTCATCTTCAGAGGCAGAGATGGGGGAGGGGGGTCCTCAGAGGAAGCTCCATAACAAGACTAGCCGTACTGTTGAGCTAAGTTCTGGGTTCAAGCGACTTTGACCCAATGAATAATATGAACAAGAATGATTTCCAAAATAACATCGGGCATCTACATGCATTTGAACCCCACACATATACACACACATGCCAACACACACACACACACACACATGCCAACACACACACACACATGCCAACACACACACACATGCCAACACACACACACACACACACACACACACACACACACACACATCTCAAGGTCCAAATCAGGAGCAGAAGGAGAGAGAGCACCAGCAAGGAACTCAGGACCGCGAGGGGTGCACCCACACACTGAGACAATGGGGATGTTCTATCGGGAACTCACCAAAGCCAGCTAGCTGGCCTGGGTCTGAAAAAGCCTGGGATAAAACCGGACTTGCTGAACATAGCGAACAATGAGGACTACTGAGAACTCAAGAACAATGCAATGGGTTTTTGATCCTATTGCACGTACTGGCTTTGTGGGAGCCTAGGCAGTTTGGATGCTCACCTTACTAGACCTGGATAGAGGTGGGCAGTCCTTGGACTTCCCACAGGTCAGGGAACCCTGATTGCTCTTTGAGCTGATGAGGGAGGGGGACTTGATCCGGGGACGGGGAGGGAAATGGGAGGCAGTGGCGGGGAGGAGGCCGAAATCTTTAATAAATAAATAAATTTTAAAAAAATTTAAAAAAAAAAGAAAGCAAAAAAAATCTCCAAGTCCTTTAAAAGCAGCAGAGCAGAGCTCTGCAGCCTTGCTCCAAAACGCCCCTCACTATTGCCGTGTTTTAGGATCCACCTACTCCAGGGGAAGAATGCACTCACCCCGGTTGATTTATTCTAACCAGCCAGACTCTGGCTCACCTCCTTTGGAATAGAGGGGTCCCTCTCTGTCCAAAACTTCCACAGACCAGTGGGAAGAAGACAGGAATAAAGGAGTGGCCGTCATACTTAAGTGTGCAGGGCACTTTAAGACCTGAGAGGAAGTTACACAAGGTGAAAAAATTAATAAACAGAACCAGGACACCCGTAGGCTTTGTTGAGGAAGGACCCAGAAGTGTCTCCAGGAGGCTGCCCTGACTGCGATGCCACTGTGGGTTTAAGAGTGGCTTGGAGAAGAGATTTTGATGGAGATCATGGAACCTCTGAGAGAATCCGCCCTATTTGTTCCCAGAATCACACAGGGTTAGGGTAGCTCCAGGCCAGGCGGAAGCTTCAGAAAGGGGAAAAAAGGAGACTCTTCCAAGGTAGAGCTCCCTAGTCTAATGAGTCTGCAGCGTGCAGGCCACAGTCTGCTCATCAGATTAATATAGTTTTTCTTTTTTTATTCATCTATTCATTTTAGATCCTGGTCACAGCCTCCCCCAACATCCTCCCCTCCCAATCCCTCTCCCCATCCCCCTCTCCCACCCACCCCAATTGCCTCCTCATCTATCACCATCCACGAAAGAGCAGGTCTCCTGTGAGTATCAATAAACATGGCCTATCAAATCACAGTAAGACTCCAAGTATTAAGGTTGGGCAAGGCAACCCAGTATAAAAAGTAGGGTCCCTAAAGCCAGTAAAAGAGTCAGAGATAGCCCTTGTCCCCACTGTTAGGAGTCCCATAAGAAGACCAAGTTACACAGCTGTAACATATATGCAAAGTTCCTAGGTCAGTCCCGTGCAAGCTCATAGGGACTCACAGACACTGAACTAATAACAGGGCCATAAACCTATGATTTTTTTTGTTTGTTTTTGTTTTTCGAGACAGGGTTTCTCTGTGGCTTTGGAACCTGTCCTGGAACTAGCTCTGTAGACCAGGCTGGTCTGGAACTCACAGAGATCCGCCTGCCTCTGCCTCCTGAGTGTTGGGATTAAAGGCGTGTGCCACCATCGCCCGGCCATAAACCTATGAATTAATGTCAAGTCCAATCCTGTCACCAAGTGCTCTGATGTCCCTTCTATCCCACTCACTATATAGGTGTTCCCAGTCAGAGCCTAGGCGTCTCTGCATCTCTCCCCTCCAGCGCACCAGTGGTAGTCAAGTCAGCCATTGGTTCTGACCTATCCTGAAGTCAGCACAGTTGTCTCTCTGGTTTGAAGACTCATCAAAACAGACCACGGT